TCTAATCCAGACAAGCTAAAGCTTGTTGTCATTCTACCCAGTAGGCTTCAGGAGTCAGGCTTGCTGGAACTTGTATTTGAGATGAATAAGGCAGCGTAGAACTGGAGTTTAACAACTTTAGAAACGTTATATGAAGGACATTGAAATGGGGGTGTGCTTGCAGAGCCCCTCACCACCTCACCTTCAAGGAAAAGCTAGCATAACCTAAGTGTATTTTAGGGCTTCTGTGGCCTGACAGAACACTGTAGTGTTTAGTGGCCTGGAGGGTGACGGTCTCTTTTATCTGCATAGTTGAACTGTAAAATAAAATTTCCAAATGCTGAAGAGCATGAATGGAGCTAGTATGGCCACAATGAGCCTCTATTTATATAGGACTTATTCTCATGCTGGTTAACGGGCCCCTGGGCTAAATGTAATGATAAGATTAACAAAAGAAAGAGGACATTGTTATTTTTTCAGATGTCAGAGCTTTTCTGGTTCTAAAAGAACAGAGCGTTGCTAATTTTATTTCCTTTTACTATCTTGTTTTTAATTTTTTTGGCCAAACTAAATGAAAAGTTGCTGTCTATGTCGTATGAGAATGGTTTTCTCTTCCTCAGTAACAGTTGTGAGAAAAAATTACATGCAATAACAGCCACCTAATATATATTTTGAGCCCTGGTGGTGCAGTGGTTAAGAGCTCAGCTGCTAACCAAAATGTTGGCAGTTCGAATCCACCAGCCGCTTCTTGGAAACCCTACGGGGCAGTGCTATTCTGTCCTATAGGGTCGCTATGAGTCGGAATTTACTTGACAGCAATGGGTTTGGTGTTTTTCTTTTTTTAAATATGTTTTTCAATTAAAATGTCATTCAAAACAGTTTGTTGTAGGCAACAGATATGAACGGAGGGAATGGAAGAGTGACAGACTAAAAATGATGAATTTTATTGATGTAACTGGTTGAGCTCTAGAGTAAGGGTGGTTCCAATGAGGTCTGTTCCAGTGGAGCCTTCCCAGAGAGATTTTTCCTAAACTCTGCATCTACAATAACAGATCTAAAGTACAACTAAAGCACACCAGTCATTCCTCTTCACACTATTCAGCTTCATTTCCTTCATTCATGTTTCTATCAAATATTTCCTTTTTTATGTTTGCTTGTTGTCTATCTCTTTTCCACTGGAATGCAAATTCCAGACCCTGTTTTTGTCACCCCTGGTGCATAGAACACTGTACATTGTAGTTGTTGTTAGGTACCACTGAGTTGGTTTCAACTCATAGCAACCCCATATGATACAGTAAAACTGTCCCATAGGGTTTTCTAGGCTGTAATCTTTCCCCCACAGAGCTGCTGGGTAGGTTTGAACCAACAACCTTCTGGCTACCTGCCAAGCATTTAACCATTGTTCCACCAGGGGTCCTCCTGCACATAGCAGGCACACAATATTTGTTGAATAAATGAATGAATGAATGAATGAATATATGTTTGAAAACAGAATTGCTAACCACTTACTCTAGGCTAGCCCGTTAGTTTGTTCTTTTCTTTTGTTTGTTTTTGCTATTGTTCAGACTGTCAACATTCATTACAGCTTTTCCGCTTCTTACTGTAGATTTATCTGTGGATGTAATTTCAATTCTTTCTGACTATACTGTATTATAGTGGAGGACATTTATCAGACCCTTACTAGAGCAGTGTTTGGTATGAGGTGTATTATAACTAGTGTTTTGCTAATAAAGTCACAAAACTTATGGATTTATTTTTAAAGAAAAAAATTAGAGCAGACTTAATTGTTTTTTTAAAACAAATATGTCACTGACTTGTATTTTCTTGAGTGGAAGAGAAAGGGGTGTGCTGCCAGGACTTATAACTCCTAACTTTGGCTACCCAAAAAAAAGGACTGAGATCCATTATTCTAGAGTCAATTGTTAAAAATCTGCTGCCTAGTCTAGGAGGATTGAAATTGTATTATAGCTTTTGTGTTGATGGAAGACAAGCCAAGTATGGACTGCACAGCAGGATCCCATGGGATCCTGTTAACAAGGTTTAGGTTGAAGCATGTGGTTCAGGTCTGATGGGTGGGTGGAAAACTCAGTGCCATGTACTCTGGCGGCGGAGTGGGGTGCTCTGTAAATACAAGTTGATCTTATTAATAATGTGGGCCTCTTACCAGTACTTGAGGGGATTTGTTTTGCAACCCATACAGGGAGAGCAGGAACCACTGCTGAAGCTGGTTGGGTCTGGCTCAGTCATAAGACTTGGGCTTGTAGCATAGGCCCAGGTGTTTAGAAAAATCAGTGTATATCTTTGTGTTCTGGGAATCACATGTTCTCATGTTTTGGCTTTGGCATAGTCACAAAATGTGTTTCCTTTAAAGGAGAAATTTATAGAAGACTCATGTTCACATTGAATAATTTTAAGATTGATTTGTAATTTATACATTTCTTTCTAATCGCAGATTTTTTCTTACATTGTAAAAGAACTTTGGGACCAGTGTAAGTTCTGGCTACAAAATCCAAACTACCACCAGGGACAATAAACTACAACAATGTTTGTCATGGATTGAATTATGTCCCCCCAAAAATGTGTGTATCAGTTTGGCTGGGCCATGATTCCAGGTATTGTGTGATTTTTCTGTATGTTGTAAATCCTGCCTCTATGATGTTAATGAGGGAGGATGGGAGGCAGTTGTGTTACTGAGGCAGGACTCATTCTACAGATTGAATTGTATCCTGAGGCAATCTCTTGAGATATAAAAGAGAGACGTGATCAGAGAGACATGGGGACCTCATACCATCAAGAAAGCAGTGCCAGGAGCAGAGCGTGTCTTTTGGACCTGGGATCCCTGCGCGGAGAAGCTCTTAGTCCGGGGGAACACTGATGAGAAGAAGGCCAACAGAAAGAGAAAGCCTCCTCCTGGAGGCAACGCCCTGAATTTGGACTTTTAGCCTAGTTTACTGTGAAGAAACAAATTTCTCTTTGTTAAAGCCATCCACCTGTGGTAGTTCTGTTGTAGTAGCACCAGATGACTAAGACAATGTTGTAACAACATGGCTTACTAGCCCTTGTTAAAAACAATCTGGGAGTTGGTAGATGTTTTGATTTGTTCTTGTGAAAGATTTATTTTACAAATAATTCAAAATATCTAAAGTACTGAAGGGCAAGTATGTAGCAAATGTACTTACATGCCAAAAATTAAAAACATTTAGGATACTATTGTGGGCTCAATAATAGACTTGAAAATATTTTGTTTCAGATTCACATATTTTATTACAAATTTATTTTATTTCGTACCCAGTAGAAAAGCAAGTTTGGAATCTATTTACAAGTACTATACATTTACATGTATTATATACAGTTCATGAATTTAAAGAAAATGGACAGAGAAATGCAATATATATGGAAGAATATGCCACTGTACACAGTTTCATATCATGGTCCTTAGTGTTATTGAATCTTTACTGTAGTAATAAATACATTTCTATATTTACAAATCTTATAAAACATCTCATAAATGTATTTCAATTCCAAGTTAAAACATCTGGTCAAAATAAACATGCTTATATAAAAATAAATCTACCTAACAGCCTTTTGGTTCGGATGTATTGAAGCTAATGTAGGATAATAGAAGCTACAAAATAACTCATCAACTTTTAATGTTTAATAATTTTGCCTTTTAAAATATCTAACACATGTATTAAATATGGAATAAGCAGAGAACTAATGTTCCTGACATCAAGTGAGTTGATCCAGAGAGAACACAGCTAAATAAACAGGATAATATGTTACCAAGTCTCTGCTGAGTCCAAAGTGGTGTCAGACATAACTGTTAGAGCTACTAGAAATACACCTATAAGGAGTCATGTCAGTAAATTTATACCATTTCTGCATTTGATCATTAGCTTAAGATGCACAGTAGTTTGAATCAACTGATGAAACCTCCTGCAAAAAAATGTGTACTCAAAAAAAAAAAAAATTTCAGATTGCTTACCATATTTTTCCCTAGGCATGTCCATTGCCGGCAATGGACTTTTATTCTGAGCCCTGGGCACCTACGAGTTAAAAATGAATTAGACAAGGCAAAACTCACTTGTGCATGATTGCTTTCATGGTAATTTAAGAATTTAAGTTTATTTTCATTTCAAAATATTTGTAAGCAGGTTTATTCCACTAAGAGTGGAACCATCTAGTACTGATACACAAAAAGTATCTCTAAAAAATGACCTGAATAATTAATAATTATTAACAATTCCTTACGTTATCCATCCAGGGGCATTGGTGACCAGAAAGGATCCTGTCTGAGGAAAGGCAAAACCAAAAAAACCAAACCCGTTGCCCTCAAGTCAATTCCGACTCATAGTGACCTTTATAGGACAGAGCAGAACTGCTCCATAGGGTTTCCAAGACTGTAAATCTTTATGGCAGCAGACTACCACATCTTTCTCCCATGGATCATCTGGTGGGTTCAAACTGCCAATCTTTTGGTTAGCAGCTAACCACTGTGCCACCAGTGCTCACGGAGGAAAGGCAAAAGAGGACTAAAACAACTCCACTTGGTTATTAAAATGAAATCCTCTAGGTCACAATCTTTGCTTAGTAATGGAAGTCATTTAAAACCCTCATTTTTCTGATGCTTCAAGAATCTCTTAAGGAGTTTTTAGGTTTAAATAAACCCATTTTTGTGAGGAAGTACTTGTTTTTCTTTTTTCCAAGCCACTAGATTGATGTAGTTTAAAGAGCATTCACTTAAAATCATGGGAATCTTTTTTGAAGAACATTTCAATCTGCTTTTTTGATCTGGGCTCACGTAAGTAGTGTGAATGATCTATCTCTTAACTGAACTAGTTATATGAGCAGCATTTAGATTTATTTTTCACTCTCAAGTATCAATAGGTTTTCAGCTTTTTCACACTGAGAGATTTTATTATTAAGTTTAAACTCAGTTCTTCTTAGCTACTGCTCCTGATGTACTCAATCTCACATTTTTAGGGTTTTCAATTTTTGAAAACTTTTTCCTCTCATCTTAATTAGAGACACGGGACAAAAGGCACTGATGAAAGATGACAGCTTTCAGTCATTGGGTAAGCTGACGATGACACGGAATTGGAAGGCAGGTCGTAGGCTATGCTGGCGCTGGTAAAGGTTACCAAGGCTTGGGTTGAATCACAGGACTGCTTCTCGACATCATCAGAGTTAACAGACAAGAGGCTTGAATGTTTTGATCTTGTCCAAAAGTGGGTTTGCTTTCCCAGGCTCCCCAGATCCTCCTTAAAATGTGGATTGAAGAGGATGTAGAGAAGGGGATTGAGACACCCAGGAAGTGGGACAATCACCAGAAGGATAAACTTAATTACTTCGGGACTGATAAACGTGAGGTTTAGTAAAGAGGAGAAGGACAAGAAGGCCACAGGGCAGTAAAGGATACAGTTGGTGAAGAGTAATAGAGCAATGTGCTTCACCATTGAACAGTCCCAAATATTCTCCAGGTCTCCCTTTTCCAAACTGCAGTAGAGCTTGGTGTAGGCAACAGTCATCATAAGGAAGCAAAGGGAGTTGAGCAAGACCAGAGCAACCGTGTAGCCTGTGGTGCTGGGCTCCCCAAAGGGCAGGGGCAGGCAGAGAGGGGAGGCGCTGTACTCACTGCTGCCCAGCAGGGGCACTGTGGCAATGATCAGGGCCAGCATGAGGCAGAGCAAAATGACTGCTTTCAGACTGGAAAAAGTTTTTGTTTCAAATTTTGCAGAACATTTCACTGAGAAACCACGCTCCAGGGCTGCCAGAGTAAGCAGGAAAACAGATGACTCTGAAGCAAAAATGGACAGAAAACCGATGACTTGGCAACCGACCCCCTTCTCCCACCATGCACCATATTGTGCAAAGCTGCCAAAAGTGAATGCATCCACACCAGCCAGCACAGCACTGGAGACCCCCATGAGCATGTTCACCACTGCTATCAAACCAATTAGCAGTTTTATGGAGGAAATATACAGACGGGATCTGAAGACTGTTGAAGTCACCAAGGCATTGCAAGTAAGTGCCAAAACTGCTATGGTCCAGACTCCGAGTCGGATCAGCCAGCTACCAAACAGGTGTTCACAGGGTTTGAAGGGACCTAAAAGTTCAAGAAAGAAAAAGAATGTATCAAATTAGGGTTTATAACGTTTGCCAAATTACTTTTTTGTTTTTCTTATTAGGCACCAGGAGATAAAGGCCAATAATGACCATAGTAACACATAGTGCTCATGAGACACTTTCACTCTCTCAAACCGCTGTTGTCAGTTCGTATATTCTGCAGAACTGATGGGGATGGACACACCAGGGTGTCATATTTCCAGGTTATCCATGGAGGAATGGAGATGGGGGATTTAAATTGCTTGACTAAGGTCCCCAGAATACAGTGTGGGGCCAAGTAAAAAGCCAGATCTTCTGAACTTCCCATTATATTTTTTAGAATGCTTCAAAAAAGTTCCACAGGCAGAGAAAGAGAACCCCAGGGAAATGCTCTGTAATATTAGAAAAGTATGGGTAGTTTGGAGGTGCATTTCATGAAAATCTAATCTTAGTTGTAGATCAACATTTGATGTTTGGGAGAAAGGAACAAACTAATTGTTGAAAATAAATATCAACCCTTCCCAAAGCAAAAAAAAAAAAAAAAACCCAAACCTGTTGCAGAAGAGTTGATTCTGACTCATGGTGACCCCATGTGTTACAGAGTAGAACTGCTCTATAGTGTTTTCTTGGTTGTAATCTTTATGTAAGTAAATTGCCAAGCCTTTCTTCACAGTGCTGCTGGGTGAGTTCGAACCACCAACCTTTATATTAGTTGTTGTTAGGTGCCCTTGAGTCGTTTCCAACTCATAGTGACCCTATGTACAACATAATGAAACACTGCACTGTCCTTCGCCATCCTCTCAATTGTTGCTATGTTTGAGCCCATCATTGCAGCCACTGTGTCAATCCATCTCGTTGATGGTCTTCCTCTTTTTTGCTGACCCTCTACTTTACTAAGCATGATGTCCTTCTCCAGTGACTGGTCCCCCTGATAACATGTCCAAAGTATGTGAGATGAAGTCTTGCCATCCTTGCTTCTAAGGAGCACTCTGGCTATACTTCTTCCAAGACAGACTTGTTCATGGTACAGTCAATTTTCTTCGCTAATGCCATAATTCAAAGGTATCAATTCTTCTTCAGTCTTCCTTATTCATTGTCCAGCTTCTGCATCCATATGAGGCAATTAAAAATACCATGGCTTGGGTCAGATGCACCTTAGTCCTCAAAGTGACATCTTTGCTTTTCAACACTTTAAAGAGATCTTTTGCAGCATATTTACCCAATGCAATGTGTGGTTTGATTGCCTGAGTGCTGCTTCTATGGGCGTTGATTGTGGATCCAAGTAAAATGAAATCCTTGACAATGTCAATCCTTTCTCCATTTATCATGATGTTGCTTATTGGTCCAGTTGTGAGGATTTTTGTTTTCTTTATGTTGAGGTGTAATCCATAGTGAAGGCTGTGGTCTTTGATCTTCATCAGTAAGTGCTTCAAGTCCTCTTCACTTTCAGCAAGCAAGGTTCTTCTGCATATCACAGGTTGTTAATGAGTCTTCCTCCAATCCTGATGTTTCATTGTTATTCTTCATTGTTAGTAGTTGAGTTGCAAAAATGTTTATGCCACCCACGGACCATCAACCCTTCCCAGCTATCTTTTTTTCATTTGGCCCATCCAGCTTCTGGGAGTGGGACAAACAATTAGACAAATTAAATATCTTTTTTTTTTAATTGTGGTAAATATATATGTAACAAAACATTTACCATTTCAACAATCTTCACATATATGTTCAGTGACATTAATGATGTTTATTATGTTCAACCTCAATATATTTTTTTTTATTTATCTGTACAAACCATTGTTTGCTTTCACCAAATGAATATTTATATAGAAGACAAATCACTTCCAAAAAAAAAAAAAAAATCAGTGATTGTACTATCACATATTATTTCAGGCTAAATTGCTAATAACTTCATAAATATTATCAAACCAAACCTGTTGCTGTTGAGTCAATTCTGACTCATAGTGACCCTACAGGACAGAGTAGAACTGCCCCCACAGAGTTTCCAAGGAGCAGCCGGTGGATTCAAACTGCCAACCTTTTGGTTATAAGCCAAGCTCTTAACCACTACGCCACCAGTGCTCCATGCTTGATTCTTTGGTTTCCATCAACCCAAATCAAAAAATCTCTCACACAAATCCATTTATGAATGGAGAACATCTCCAGGGAATGAACATTTCTATTTTACAGGTCTCCATGGGGAGGGATAATGATGAGCCACAAAGGTGCTCCAGACTTTGCTTTAAAGTGTTGCTGCAATGTTATTGATGGCCCTGGAAACCATGGTGGGTACTGCTGCTGTGGCAGTTTTGATTGCCTTTCTTACCTGGGGAAGGTGAGCACTGTGCCGAATGAAGGGCTTTCAGGTCTTCCTCAAAGTCAAACAGGAAGTCTTCAAGGTCATCTGCAGGAATAAGAAGTCTTGGAATGATTAGTTCTGCCTCACTTTTTGGAGGGACTAAATACTAGGGCGGTGAGGCCTTGATTGCCTTTGAGACATGAACTGTCACACAGGGAAGTGAAGGCCAGACATTCCACTTTTCCCTGGGCTTTGGCTTTCTTGAAAGTCTATTATGAAGTTGCCTTTGGATGTTTTACTGCAACTATTATGTGACATTCTATTCCAGCAGGACTAGAGATGAGGGAGAGTGACCCCAGGCTCTGGGTCATCACATCTAACCTCTCTCATTCTGTTCTTGCTCCTTGAAGCTCACATTGGCCCCAGATTGAACTGACCTAAATTAAAGAGAAGATGTGAGCCTCTCCATACAATGGAGGAAATGCCTTATCCAGTTTTCTGACACTTTACATAGCCAGATGTTCTAGGGTGTATTCTCTGAGCACAAGTGGGAAAATCAGGTAAAGTATCAGTCTTTCCTGGGGAACTTCTGCATAACAGACGACAAATCAAGTAATTGCTTGAAGTCTTGAGCCTTGGTTAGTTATCCATGATATAGAAGTTTCCTGATCTAACATACTTTCCCAAAGATTCTGATTTAATTGCTTTGGTGTGGGGCTTGAGCATCAGTATTTTATAAATACTTCCATGTGATTCTATTTTGTGGGCTGAGGTTGAGAATCATGGCTCTTCCATATCAGGTCCATGAAGGTCCCTGATGTTCACTGTGTACCCTCAAGGCCTAGAACACTGTCTGGCACATAATAGGTACTCCAATTGCTTGTTTTTAGGTTTTTCTTTGTAGTAAACAAATGTAGTAGAAGTCGTTGGTGAGACAGGAAATGTAAAAACTAAAGCAAGAACAAGAGCAAGACACATGCTGTGGCCTAAAACAAAAAACCAAGGGCCAAAATGTCAGCTCCTTAAACTGATATGTGTGCAGGAAGAAATGTTCGGTGGTCTGTACGCAGACTGAATCATATTAGCTTGGGAATTGACAAATGATTACAGCCCAATGGATGAAAAGCAAGCCTGTTTAGATCTTGTGCGAACTTGCAAGGTTGGCAGGGAAGGGGAGGGGTGTCTGCCAGAGCACCTCCTCATTACCACAGGTGTGGTTTGAGGTGCATTGCCGTCTATTTAAGTAATGTCTTACTTCAAGGAAAGCCATAGTGCTTTACAGACATTCTCTCATTTCACCTTCCTGAAAGATGCCCCTGTAGGGGGTGAAAGGGGAGAATGTTTTTGAATTAGTTGGATCAGAAGTTGGATTCTTAAGCCCTTCTGCTGAAATAGGGAGACATCTAAAATGCCTATATCCTCCACTCTCCTAGGCCATAAGAATAAAAATGGGTTTTATCTTCTGTAGAAGAAGGTTCAGAAACATGTCTAAAAATGGTATCCACTGGGATGAGGCTCTTTTAAAAGTTTATGGAAATAATGATATCACTATCAGTAATTACCTCTGAGGACAATACATGCTCAGGTGGAATCTAGATCTAAATATGTGTATTAAGAACTCACTCACAGGAAAGTTTAACAAGGAATCCTGAGGGAGCGTTCTTCTCTGGGATTCTTTAAAAAATGGGGTTAATTCTCAGATTGCTGGAGTGGTTACACAGGGACTTGTCCAGAGTTCAGATGATCTGTCTGATGACTTTTCATGACCCTTCCAGTCACAATTCCATTACCATGACACAGGAGGTCTTACCTTGAACATGAAACAGTCCAGCATCTTTCTTATGAAGGTCGTCTACAGTGTTGTTGTCACCTTTATTCCACTGATTAGAAATTTTATAGACATTCTCACATATACCAAATGCACAGCACTGGTAAGCATAAGGCATTTCTATAACCCTTTAAATGAACAAAAACAAAACAAAAAACACACACTTAAAGAAATGGGTCATTAAATATAATGTTCATCTTCTTTGACCCAATAATTCTACCTTTGGAGATTTTAGCCTAAATAAATAATCAAAACATAAGCTATGTAAATAAAGATGTTCATTACCATGCTATTCATAACAACAGTGGAGTTAATGAAAATGATTGCTAGGAAATGTTGATAACTGTTGAAGTTATATGATGAGTATATTACATTATTTTCTCTACTTTTGTGTATGTTTGAAAATTTACATATTAAAAGGTTAAAAAATGATTGCTAGGAAAATTGTAGTGACATAGAAAGCGCTTACGACATAATTTCAATTATATACACGCTGTATACACTGTGATTCTAATAATTAAAAATATATTGGAAACAAAGTCTAGAAAGAAATAGTATAAAAAAGTTGTTTGGGGGCGCATTTTAAGATTTTTTTTTTCCTCTCTTCTACTTTCCAAAATCTCTTTTAAGGTTATATTACTTTCATGGTTTTGCCCATGGAAGCAGCAGTCCAGAAATCAAAGGACGTGTTGCACTGGGCAAATCTGCTGCAAAAGACCTCTTTAAAGTGTTAAAAAGCAAAGATGTTACTGTGAAGACTAAGGTGTGCTTGACTCAAACCATGGTATTTTCAATCGCCTCATATGCATGTGAAAGCTGGACAATGAATAAGGAAGACCAAAGAAGAACTGACGCCTTTGAATTATGGTACTGGCAGAGAATATTGAATATACCATGGACTGCCAGAAGAATGAACAAATCTGTCTTGGAACAAGTACAGCCAGAATGCTCCTTACAAGCCAGGATGGTGAGACTTCGTCTCACATATTTTGGACATGTTATCAGGAAGGACTAATCTCTGGAGAAGGACATCATGCTTGGTAAAGTAGAGGGTCAGTGAAAAAGAGGAACACCCTCAATGAGACGGATTGACATAATGGCTGCAACATTGAACTCAAGCATAATTGTGAGGATGGTGCAGGACCGGGCAGTGTTTCATTCTGTTGTACATAGGGCTGCTATGAGTTAGAACTGACTCGACGGCACCTAACAACAACAACATATCTTTTTTTTTAAAAAAAAAAAAGTATTTCAAGGGACTTCTTTATCAATAATAACCATAACAGGTTTTAAAGAGCATTACTTTCTCAAACAATATGAATTTAGTACATTTTGTTAGAACATATACACATGCTAGATGAATTAGAAATTGTAAAAAGGAGTACAATAATGTTATAGTGTTATTTGATTACATGCTCTAGTTTATATCCTATGGATCAATGGTTTTCAAACTCTTTCCATGAACTCTGTGATTCCGGGAGGCATCTTTGAGAAAGAAAAGAAATGTGGTCAGGAAGACACATTCTCTCACTTCAGTGCTTGTCCTAACAATGCCCCAGGGGTGGCGGACTTGAGGGCATGAAATGCAATTCAAAAGAGTTCCATGACCTCATAAATTTAGAAAACCACTATAACACGTCTATTATTTCACATGACCACAAATGTATCTTATTAGTTTTAATGACAAACTCACTTGAGTTCTGGAAAGCTTTCAGATGATATCAAGCTCTGTAAGGCATGATTTCCTGTTAATTTTAAGTGAGTTAAACCATGTAACCCAGTTACAGGAAAAGATGACAGGCGGTTGGACGATAGGTCCCTGCAAAACATCAAACAACAATCAGCTTTTAGTCTGTGTTAGCATAAAACATTTATGTTAAAAAAGCAACCTAAAGATGATTAAACTGCTCAGTAAAAACTTCTAAGCAGGGTTCTTACTCTTTATGGTAAAAGTAGCCATTTTTGTTTTAGCTCCTGATAAATTTTCTATTGACAATCAGAATTGTAAGGGGGAAATGCTTTAACTGCACCCAAATTGTAATTTTTATATTCAACTTCATTTTGCCGGGTAGAGACATTTAAAAGCAAGTGGAAGGTGCTATATTTAGTTTGAAAAGTGGTGTTGCCTTTAGGTTGGGGTGGAGAAAAAAGAGGCAACGGGTTTATTTTCTTCTTTCTCCCTTCTTTTTTTAACTTCTCTGTCTGATCAACCCCTTTTTTTCTCTATTAGATGAGGGGGATGGTGGGAGGAAGCAGTAAGAGATGGGAAGAGGAAAGAAAACTAAAAAGGAACAGTATGGTTTTCTATCAGTCAGGATGGCAAAGAATAAAGTGAATGTCCTCCAGAACTGAATTGACATCTTATTCTAGCTCTTCCACCTGATTACTCAGCACAAATGGAAAATTTCACTTGAATAATCAGAACCAGCTGTTACTCAGAACTTCCGTGATATACTTAAGGGCCCAAACGGCTTTGGAGGGGCAGGGGAGCTCCTCCCTGGCTCCGAGGGGGCTTTAATGGGGACATGGAGGGTCTGGCAATCTGTGCATCGCAGGCTTTTTCAGCAAAAACAACGTTTTTATTAACTAGAGGGTCCCTAGTTATTAAAAGTCATGCCATAAACAAGTAATGAAGTACTCACAGTTTTATTAGAGATGGCAAAGTAGAAAATGCATTGGAGTGAATAATAGCAATTTTGTTCCAAGCTAAATTTCTATTTAAAAAAAAAAAAGGCAAATGAGAGAGTTACATACGAAAAGAAAAACGTGAGAAGTTTTACCATATACATTCATTTTTCTACCAAAATTTAATTTCTGTTCAGAACAGGAACAATTAGCTCATTAAATAAATCGTCCTTCAGATAAAGGTATTGATGGAATAAAATAACTGAAGAGAGAAATTTAAATCAACCTTGTTGAAAGCAGTCAAGAAAAAAAAATCATCGTTCAGATGGATATTTTAGTTTTTACTTTTTTCTTGCAAAAAGTCGACTTTTAACATGGTTATAACATTTTATTACCACATTTCTAAGATGAGTGGGGTTAGGGGAGTGGGAAGAGACAGGAATTTCTGAGGCTTTTCTTCTGACAAGCAAGTAAGTTTTAAATTATAAAATGTCCCTGGATGTCTAATGAAACTCAGCGAGAATTTGTGCACATCACCCATAGATGTCAGGCCTCGAGACGAACACAAGACGCTTTCAGGAACCTTCCCAGTAAAGAAGACCAACATGTAAATTCTTAATGAATAAAAGAGGAACTAATGTGTTAGAAACAAAATCATTTGTTAGCAAAGAAAAACTACAATTTATGATGAAATAAAATTCACTTGCCTCCCCTCCCCAAAACATAATGAAATATAGACAATTTAGCAGGAATAAAAACTTCTGCAATAACTTTTATAGATAATTAGCAAGAATAAGAACTTCCACATTTTAATAAAAGAACTATGAATTTACGATTTGCATTTTTAAAATGCCTAGCAAATGTTGTTGCTGTTGTATGCCGTTTAGTCGATCCTGACTCATAGAGACCCTATAGAATAGAGTAGAACTGCCCCATAGGGTTTCCAAGGAGTGGCTGGTGGATTTGAACCACCAAGCTTTTGGTTAGCAGCGTGAGTTCTTAACCACTATGCCACCAGGGCTCCAAATAGGTGGTGCAAATGGTTAATATGCTCTGCTGCTAACTGAAAGTTTGGAGGTACGAGTCCACCCTGAGGTGCCTTGGAAGAAAGGCCTGGCAATCTGCTTCCAAAAAAACCAGCCACTGAAAACACTGTGGAGTACAGTTCTACTCTGACACACATGGGGTTGCCATGAGTCAGCATCAGCTGGAAAGCAACTGGCTTAATATATAGGTATTTGAAGAAATTTAAAGTGATCATAGTCAAATTTTCTCAAGTGCAGATAAATTGTTTATTTATGATATTGGGACCCTGAGTTACCCTGGGTAAATGATATTTACAGAATAGTCACATTCTCATTTGAAAGGGTCCCTAAATGAAGGAAACCAGAAGCCTTTTCATTTTGCCTCTTTCACTGATCCCAGAACAGAAGAACATTCCAGCTAACAAGGGGAGGAAAAGGCATGGAAAGGGTGGGAAAGCTAGCAATGGTGATGGGGATTTGGGTAATACAGTGAGGAGGAAACTGTCTTCTATTGAGCTACTCATAAAATATGCATCCACTGAGATGAGCAAATAATACCATCAGTCAAAGACTCTTGGTGGTTTTAAGTAAAACATGGTGCCCTGGTCAGCTTCATAGAGAGGAATATCTCCAATGTAGGCCAAGTCCTGTTGTGGGGCTTTATAGCAATTTGACTGGGTTTTAAGTAAATATGTGAGAATTTATATATTCAAAGGACTGTAATTCTTTTCTAATTTGTGAGCCCATGTGCTGGAATCTTCCCAGCAGCCTGTTTCGTGCCCAGGGGCTGACCCTGCTGGCTGCATCCCAGGGTTCTGGCTGCTCTCAATTGGATTCCCAGCGGAAGCTCCTTGAGAGAGAGAGATTGGGGCACTTGTGGTCTCGACCTCTCTAGTTTGGAACCTTGACTCTCATCGTAGCTGCACACCTTCTTGACTACTGCATCTGTGCCTCAGCTCTTCCTGGGTTCTCAAAATGCCATTTCCTCCCTGTGTCTACTCAGCCTCAAACTTCGTGATGTTGCTGGTTTCTGCACACCCATCCCTTGCTTGCTCCCTGCCAACACCAGAATGCCCCTTCATTTGAACTATCCAGGTGAATTACACTTCTTGCCAGGAACCTCACTGATATACCCTAAGAAATGATATACTTCTTCTGATAATAATAATAGTGGTGCACACTTATTATGTGCCAAGTACACTCATGAGTTTTTTATATGTATTATCTCAAAGCTGTCAACACAACCCTAAGCCCATTGCTGTTTAGTCGATTCTGACTCATAGTGACCCTACAGGACAGAGTAGAAGTGCCCCATAGAGTTTCCAAGGCTATAAATCTTTACGGAAGCAGACTGCCACATCTTTCACCCTCGGAGAGGCTGGCAGGTTCGAATCAACGACCTTTTGGTTAGCAGCTAAGCGCTTAACGACTGCATCACCAGGGCTCCTTAACACAATACTAGGAGGTAGGTATTGTCATTAGCTCTATTTTAAGGATGAGAAAACCAAGACACAGTGTGTAAAGTGACTTCCCCAAAGTCACACAGTAATCTTAGGAGCTGGGATTCAAACCCAGGCAGACCGATTCCAGAGTCCCTGATCTTGTGCTTAGAACACGTTTGGAATGCTTAAGTAAATAACAAGAGAGATCTTGAGGATTAAAAAGATGAAAAAGTTCTTGTCATTTTTGGGTAGGGCATGGTCTACTTGTTGACAGTGCTGACTGTTAAGATCGATAGCAGGGAATATACAAAGCACATCAGAGTGGAGTGGGTTAAAAAACTGGGGATCTTGTTCTCATGGGATGGGCAGGGGGAGAAAGCAAGGATGGGGAAGAATCTGACAAGCAATGGGAACAGAAGAAACAGTAGCCTGTGTGTTGGGGGACTGGTAATGAGTGGATGAGAGATGAGGCTGTGCTAGGAGGTTGGAATCAGATTTTGAAGGACAGTGCTGCGAAGTTTGGTCTTGATCATGAAAATAGGAGACTAACAGAAGTTTTTGAAGCAGGGAAGTACCATGATTAGATTTCTATTTACGAAAGATTGCTTTTACCTCTTTGGAGAATGAGAATAATGGGTAGAGAGTGATAGGAAGAGGATTGTCTAGCAGGAGGAGGATGATGATCCCGGTGAGCGATTATATAGGCCTATTGGTAGAAGGATGGAGGCCTGGTGGCGAAGTGGTTAAGAGCTCAGCTGCAAACCAAAAGCTCGAGTTCGAATCCACCAGCCCCTCCTTGGAAACCCTAAGGGGCAGTCCTAAACTGTCCTGTAGGGTTGGTATGAGTCAGAATCGACTTGACAGCAACGGGTTTGGTTTGGTTGGTAGAACAGTGGAGTGGATGAATTGGAGTTGGCAGAATGTTATGGATTGAATTATGTCCCCCAAAAAGCTATGTTGAAGTCCTAACCCCTGGTCCTTGTGAATGTGACCTTGTTTAGAAATAGAGTCTTTGAAGATGTTATCAGTTAACATGAGGTCATACTGGAGTAAGGTGGATTCTAATCCAATACGAGTGGTGTCCTTGTAAAAGAGATGAGACACAGAGAGACACGGGGAAGTTGGCCATGTGAAGATGGAAGCACAGATGGAGATATGCTGCAGCTGCAAGCCAAGAAATGCCCAGGACTACTAGAAGCTGGAAGAGACAAGAAAGGATCTTCTTGTAGAGCCTTCAGAGAACACATGGCCCTGCTAACACCCTGAATTCAGACTTCTAGCCTTCAGAATTGTGAGACAGTAATTTTCTGTCATTTTAAGCCACCCAGTTTGTGGTACTTTGTTATGGAAGAACTAGGAAACTAATCCAGCAGGGTTTGGTGAATGACTGGATGTGAGACCTAAGGGGGAGGAGGAATTCAGGGGCCTCAGACATTTAGTGTTCAGAGTCTGTGTCACATTCTTTTGATCGCTTTAGAGGTCAGTCTTTAAAACAGCACTGACTTTTGGAAACAGCCAGAACTCAAATCTGGTGAATAAAGCAGGTAATTAAAGCAGGTAATATATTTTTGATTTACGTTTATAAAAATGTGTAAAAGAAATACACAAGCAGATTTAAAGCATAAGTAAGGAAACAGCAAAACAACTAAATTCAGAAGAAGATGGTTCTCAAGGCAAACTTTTGGGGCTGGTGATTCTTAAAGGTAAATTTAAAATCTTTTGAAGAATGGTATTATTTTACCAAGGGTATAGTCTCTTAAGTATTAAGAAAACCTTTAGGATAGAAGTCAGCCAAAAAAAAAAAAAAGTTTTTAATAAACATACCACAGTATAAACATTACATATCATAATTACACCCACTCCTCACTTAGCAACATGGTTAGGTTCCAAAGACCAGGTTGTTATGTGAAATGCACTGTGTGAAAATGGAGGATGACCACATCAGATCACAAAATGGAGGATGACTACAATCATTACATAACTGCCAAATTGCATCATTACATAACTGCCAAATTACATCATTACATAACTGCCAAACCACTGAGAATCATGGCCCAGCCAAGTTGACACATAATCATAACCATCACTTCCCTTGTACCTCAGCGTTCATTACTGCCAGATATACGTTGTTAATGTGCAAAACAGATAGTTTTTTTACTATTATAAATGTGAAATGTCAGTAACGAGATAGTTGATAAATAGAAATAAGTATAATCAAATCACATTAATATTCAGTTTCAGGATACAAAAATTTTCACCATTGTATCACAAAAAAATCTGTTAGCAAGTTTTTTCCCCATTTATGGTTAATATATGGTATTTTCAATCATAAAATACAATTAAATATTTACAAATCTTAGTTTTTCTGAGCTGCAGAAGCATTTTCAAGGACAGTTGTGCTCAAAGCTTAGTGTATTATTAAAAACGCAGATTTATAGGCCTAACTCCCAGAGAGTCTAACTCATAAAGCAGGTGAGGACTGGGGTCTGCATTTTTTTTTTTTTTTGATTTTTTTTTTCCAATTGTACTTTAGATGAGGGTTTACAGAACAAGCTAACTTCTCATTAAACAATTAGTACACTTATTGTTTTGTGACATTGGTTGTCAACCCCACGACATGTCAACACTTTCTCCTTCTCGACCCTGGGTTTCTCATTACCAGCTTTCCTGTCCCCTCCTGCCTTCTTGTCCTTGCCCCTGGGCTGGTGTGACCATTTAGACTTGTTTTGTTTTATGGGGCTGTCTAATCTTTGGCTGAAGGGTGAACCTCAGGAGTGACTTCATTACTGAGCTAAAAGGGTGTCTGGGGGCCATACTCTCTGGGTTTCTCCAGTATCTGTCAGACCAGTAAGTCTGGTCTTCTTTTTTTATTTGTGAGTTAGAATCTTGTTCTACATTTTTCTCCAGCTTTGTCTGGGACCCTCTATTGTGATCCCTATCAGAGCAGTCGGTAGTGGTAGCTGGGCACCATCTAGTTGTGCTGGACTCAATCTTGTGAAGGCTGTAGTACTTGTGGTCCATTAGTCATTTGGACTAATCTTTGGGAGTCTGCATTTTTAACAGTTGCCCTCAGGTGACTTGTTTTCATTGTGATAAACACACACATAAGAAAACATCTGCCATTTTAACATTTTTTACATATACAATTCAATGACATTAATTACGTTCACCATGTTGTGCCATCATCACCACTATGTGTTTCCAATTTTCCCCATTATCCTTAAGCAATGATTTCCTCTTTCACCCTCCTGCCCCTCCTACACATGGTAACCACTAATAAACTTTGGTTTCTATACACTTGCCTAGTCTAGATAGTTCATCAAGTGGGATCATATAATATTTGTCCTTTTGTGTCTGACTTATTTCACTCAGCATAATGTTTTCAAGGTTCCTCCTTGTTGTAGCATGTATCAGGACTTCATTTCTCTTTATGGTAGGCATATACCACAATTTGTTTATCCATTCATCTATTGATGGACATTTAGGTTGCTTCCACTTTTGGCTATCGGTGACTAGTGCTGCTATGAACATTGGTATAAGTATTTGTGTTTCTGCTTTCAATTCTTTTGGATATATACCTAGGAGTGGAATTGCTTTTTAAGCGCTTTGAGAAATATGTTGAAAAGCTCTGCTTAACAAGGAAAGAAAAGCAGGCAGGAAGAATTGTGTGATCATCCCATTCTTGTATGTGAAATGATCCCTGCCAATTCTAGGTGGAGACAGAACACATTCTGTAGGTGATTCAAGAGCTTGGCCTCTTTCCTCTCTAATAAAGTTTCACATCTGCTAAATGGGAGAAAGCATAACTGCAAATTTGTTGCTGTTGTTGTTGTTAGGTGCTGTCGAGTCGGTTCCAACTTATAGCAACCCTATGTGCAATAGAATGAAACAGTGCCCAGTCCTGCGCCATCCTCACAACCGTTGCTGTGTTTGAGCCCATTGTTGCAGCCACTGTGTCAGTCCATCTCGTTGAGGGTCTTCCTCTTTTTCACTGACCTTCTATTTTACCAAGCATGATGTCCTTCTCTAGGGATTGGTCCCTCCTGATAACATGTGCAAAGCATGTGAGATGAAGTCATGCCATCCTTGCTTCTAAGGAGCATTCTGGCTATACTTTTTCCAGGGAAGATTTGTTCATTCTTCTGGCATTCCATGGTATATTCAACATTCTTTGCTAATACCATAATTCAAAGGTGTCAATTCTTCTTTGGACTTCCTTATTCATTGTCTAGCTTTGACATGCATATGAGAAGATTGAAAATACCACTGCTTGGGTCAGGTGCACCTTAGTCGTCTAAGTGACATCTTTGCTTTTTAACACTTTAAAGAGGTCTTTTGCAGCAGATTTGCCCAATGTAATACATTGTTTGATTTCTTGACAGCTTCCATGGGTGTTGATTGGATCAAGTAAAATGAAATCCTTGACAACTTCCATCTTTTCTCTGTTTATTGTAATGTTGCTTATTGGTCCAATTGTGAGGACTTCTGTTTTCTTTATGTTGAGGTGTAATCCATGCTGAAGGCTGCAGTCTTTGATCTTCATCACTGCTTCAAGTCCTCTTCATTTTCAGCAAGCAAGGTTGTGTCATCTGCATAACGCAGGTTGTTAATGAGTCTTCCACCAATTCTGATGGCACGTTTTCCTTCATACACTCCAACTTCTTGGATTATTTGCTCAGCATACAGACTGAATAAGTCTGGTTAAAGGATACAACCCTGACACACACCTTTCCTGATTTTAAACCATGCAATATCCCCTTGTTCTGTTCAAATGACTGCCTCTTGGTCTATGTACTGGTTCCTCATGAAAACAATGAAGTGTTCTGGAATTCCCGTTCTTCACAATGTTATCCATAATTTGTTACGATCCACACAGTCAAATACTTTTGCATAGTCAGTAAAACACAGGTAAACATTTTTCTGGTATTCTCTGTTTTCAGCCAAGATCCATCTGACATCAGCAATGATATCCCTTTTTTCCAGGTCCTCTTCTGAATCTGGCTTGAATTTCTGGCAGTTCCCTGTCAATGTACTGCTGCAAATGCTTTTGAATTATCTTCAGCAAAATTTTACTTGCATGTGATATTAATGATATTGTTTGATAATTTCTGCATTCTGTTGGATCACCTTTCTTTAGAATGGGCACAAACATGGATCTCTTTCAGTAGGTTGGCCGGGTAGCTGTCTTCCAAATTTCTTGGCATAGACGTGGGAGTACTTCCAGCGCTGCATCTGTTTGCTGAAACATCTCAACTGATATTCCATCAGTTCCTGAAGCCTTGTTTTTTGCCAATGCCTTCAGTGCAGCTTGGGCTTCTTCCTTCAGTACCATCAGTTCTTGATCATATGCCACCTTCTGAGATGGCTGAATGTTGACCAAATCTTTTTGGTACAGTGACTCTGTGTATTCTTTCCACCTTCTTTTGATGTTTCCTGCTTGGTTCTGTGTTTTTCCTGTAGAATCCTTCAATATTGCAACTTGCAACTTGTTTTCTCTTCAATTCTATCAGCTTGAGAAGTGCCGAGTGTGTTCTTCCCTTTTGGTTTTCTAACACCAGGTCTTCGCACATTTCATTGTCTTCTCAAGCTGCCCTTTGAAATCTTAGGTTCAGCTCTTTTCCATCATCATTTCTTCCTCTTGCTTTAGCTACTCTACATTTAAGAGCAAGTTTCAGAGTCTCTTCTGAGATCCACTTTGGTCTTTTCTTTCTTTCCTGTCTTTTTAATAACCTTTTGTTTTCTTTGTATATGATGTCCTTGATGTCATCCCACAAGTCATCTGGTCTTCGGTCATTAGTGTTCAATGCATCAAATCTATTTTTCAGATGATCTCTAAATTGAGGTAAGATATACTCAAAGTCATACTTTGGCTCTCGTGGACTTGCTGTCATTTTCCTCAGCTTCAACTTGAACTTGCATATGAGCAATTGATGGTCTTTTCCTCAGTCAGCCCCTGGCCTTGTTCTGACTATTGTTATTGAATTCCTCCATCACCTCTTTCCACAGATGTAGTTGATTTGATTCCCATGTATTCCATCTGGTGAGATCTACATATATAGTCACCATTATGTTGTTGGAAAAAGGTATTCCAATGAATAGATTGTTAGTCTTGATCTCTGGGGTCATTTCTATCACCAAGGCTGTATTTTCCAATTGCTGATCCTTCCTCTTTGTTTCCAACTTTCAAATTCGAATCACTAGTAATTATCAATGCATCTTGATTGCATGTTTGATCAATTTCAAACTGCAGAAGTTGGTATAAATCTTCAATTTCTTCATCTTTGGCATCAGTGGTTGGTGCATAAATTTGAATAATAGTTGTATTAACTGGTCTTCCTCATAGTTGAATGGATATTATCCTATCACTGACAGAGTTGTACTTCAGGATAGATCTTGAAATGTTCTTTTTGACAATGAATGAGATGTTGTTCTTTTTTAATTTGTCATTCCCGGCATAGTAGACCATGTGATTGTCTGATTCAAAATGGCCAGTACCAGTCCATGTCAGCTCACTAATTCCTAGGATATCTATCGTCAAGCGTTCCATTTCATTTTGACAACTTCCAATATTCCTAGATTCATACTTCGTGCATTCCACATTCCAATTATTAATGGATGTTTGCAGCTGTTTCTTCTCATTTTGAGTCATGCCACATCAGCAAATGAAGGTCCTAAAAGCTTGATTCCATCCACGTCATTAAGGTCAAGTTTACTTTGAGGAGGCAGCTCTTCCCAGTCATATTTTGAGTGTCTTCCAACCTCAGGGGCTCATCTTCTGGCACTACATCAGACAATGTTCCACTGCTATTGATGAGATTTTCACTAGCCAAATTTTTTTAGAAGTAGATAGCCAGGTCCTTCTTCCTAGTCTGTCTTACTATGAAAGCTCCACTGAAACTTGTCCACCATGGGTGACCCCGCTGGTATTGGAAAAATACTAGTGGCTTAGCTTCAAACATCACAGCCACCTCCGTACCACAAACTGACAGACGAATGGTGGCAATTTGCTACTTTGGAAATTTTCCCTAGAAATTATCAAGAGCAAAATACTTGCCTTCTCACAGCAAATACACACATGAAGGCCCAACAATATGAGTATACAGTGAAAAGAAAATATTAGGGGAAGGTCCAAAAGACATGGAAAGTGTTGAGTGTTGGGGAAGACGCTTGAGGTGGTACTCACAGAGCTCTGAGGCTAAGCAACTGCTGGAAAGTGTCAACTTTAATTTCATAGATTTCATTATGCTGGAGGTCACTGAAATGAGAGAGTTCCAAAGATTCATTTCAAAGTTACTGGTTTCAAGAATTACAGTTTTCAGAGAACTTTTGAAGAGGGACTACCTGCCCTCAATCAAAGCAACACATGAGCTGTGACTATAAACTGACTGCTTTTAAAATTTTTGTTTTGTTTAAAAAAGAACATTACAATTTATACAGTTAAGTAGGAATTGCCTCTCTTTCAAAGCAGTTAGTTCTCTTGGGAGGATATAAAACCATATCCAAACATGCCACCATCATTCAAAACACTTTGAGGACTCCTTTTCTGGCTCTGCCTTCTAAGCCTTTCTTGGATTCTTTGAGGGTCTTTCAGAGTGTCAATTTTTTTTTTCCTTAATGGCTCAAAGGCATTCAGAGAAAATCAAGCATGAAAGGATGGATGATTAATACTGTTTTGATCAAAACCCAAGAATGACTATAATGCAAGGAGATTGATGTTTTGTGAGGGAGGCAATTTTAAGAGAGGAATTCCAAAATGTTTCGTGTATAATAGCATCTTAGAGACAAATATGGCACCTCCTCTAAAGATGACTATTATGAAACAAACATACTAACAAACTCAAGCCCCCTCATATTAAAAAATAAACCACTAATTGGATAAGTAAGTTTGGTTGTATATGTAAAAGAAGAAAAATTCCAAAGCCCAAACAAACATAGGTCATTGTTACATCAATGGGGGGTTGGGGGGTGGGGAGCAAATACATAATAAATGCTTTACTTCCCTAACAGTGGAATGCATGATAATAGTATCTATGTTTCCCAGCTTTACAGCCACCCTACACAGTCACACCTTGTGTGCATAAGAAGGGAAAGCATCAAAAGTCTCCTCAGTGAACTACAAGATAAGCAAACCAATGACACCTGTAAAATGCGAGTTGTGGCTCTTGGTTTTGCTGCGGGACTTAGAGACTCTTACAGACTTACATTTTCTGAAGTTTTTGGCAGACTGAAAAACTGGGTAAATCTTCTAGCTGGTTGTAAGACAGATCTCTGAAAAATAGGAAGTGCAAGAGGGAAAAATCTGTTACCTATTAATCATAAGGAAACATGCTTTGCTCCTTTTCCCTTTGAGATGACAGATCTCCCAATGGCAGGCTCTAAACGTTTCCCCAGCACTGACAGGGAGCAGGTAGTCACAGGCATTATTGGATTAAGCATTAGATTCAGATGTTTACTGAAATGTAACTGTTATACTTCTTTAATTAACTTAAATAATTTACTTAATGAATTTATTTATATTTTGTTAGTGATGATCTATAATATTCTAGCTATTATCTTACTGAAATGAGAACAAATTAAATAATGGTGCCTCTGTCTCTAAGAGCTGCTACATCTCTACAGCTAAGAGAAATAATCTTTTATAACCAACTAAAAAGAACCCAATGACAACTCAAAACATAGCACAAACTTTGAAATCAATCACTACACAGGGGGAAGAAATCTAAGAAAGGCTTCAGCCAAAACTCAACAAATTACAGAATAACAAAAACATCTGGATATATTTATAGTATAATATAACTAATCTAAAACAAGCCATAGTAATTTGCAGAAAGCTTAAAAAAAAAAAAAAGAAAGCTGATAGATAAAATAAGACAGATATATATATAAAAAAATCTTGTCTCATGTTTTAAAAGTTATTGGCTAATCAGCTAACACATTTTCATGTCTGATTCCAATTCTTAAAACCATATCACCACAATGTAACTGAAAAATCCATATTGTTTTCTAAGAGGCTTTTAAATGTTTTTTTCTTGAAATTAATCACTTTATCCTCTATTTATTGAATAGATAGAATTTATATAGGAATAGAGTTAATTCACTACATACAAATGGTTCAAATAAAGCTGTTTGCAAACATAAACTTGTTGTTTATACTAGAGGGTTGAAAGACCAAAAACAAAACAAAATCATACCTACACACACACAACCGCACACACGATTAACGCTACAGTATGTACTTTTGAAAAGTGGTGAATATAATAAAATAGACATTATCAAAGTTGATAATCATTTGGTTCACTCATCTCCACAGGCTGCTAGGAGACAAATTATTCCTTGTGTACCCCTTAACAGAGGATGCATAAAACCTTCTACATAAAGACAGAGTGCTGTCTTCTACCTGAAGATTACCCTTATCCACTGCCTACGAGTCAATTCTGACTCGCAGCGATCCTATAGGACAAGCTAGAACTACCTCATAGGGTTTCCAAGGCTGTAAATCTTTATAGAAGCAGACTGCTTCTTTCTCCTGCGAAGCAGCTTGTGGGTTCAAACTGCTGAACTTTTGGTTAGCAGCTAAGCACTTAACCACTGCACCACCAGAGCTCCTTGTCCTAACACTAATCAAGCACTTCCTATGTACAGGCACTGTTTACAGCTTTACCTGAATTATCTCATTTGATCCTCGTGGTCACATTATGATGGTGACACTAGGATTATCCCCACAGAACAGTGACTAAGATCACCAGCTAGTAAGTGGCGAAAGCCATACACAGCCTGTGTTGTGGACCAAGTAATCTGGTGGGGGTGAAGCAATCTGGGGGAAAAGCTACTTATATACAGTGACAATTTGCTTATGCCACAGGTACTCAGTGGGTGAATCAGTCAAAGGACTGGGTTTCTCAGGCCCATACTTCTAGGAGAACATAAAGCAGACTGTAGTAGAAGTCAGGACCCTGGGTTCTAGTCTGTACTTCAATTAATTCTACTTAGTAGATACACTGGCCAAAGCATGGATATCTTTCTCAGTTCTCTACAAAAGTAAGGATATTAATACCTACTTTACTGATCTTGCAGGGTTGTTGTGAAAGCCAAATGAAGTGCTTTGAAAATGGCAAGACACTGCCATTAATGTATTGTGTTATTTCAGACTTTCAAGTTCTAACTTGAGAAAAGAATAACTTGAGGAAAGGATAATGGGGCGAAGGAAGTGGGAAAGACAATGATAAGCTCTAACATTGACTGAGACAAGTCCCAGGCACTGTTTGAAGTGCCTGACATGTAGTCACTCATTTAGTCCTTATGATGGTCCTCTGAGGGAAGTGGCCACATCTCTACTTTATAGATGGAGAAACTGAGCCCCAGGAGGGATAAATAACTTGCTCAAGATATTGTGCTGTTACATAGTGGAACCTGGATTTGAACCCAGAAGACAAGGTCCGGAGCCTTTGCTCTGAACCATTTTGCCAGTCTGCCTCCACTTAGGTAGTTCTAGACCTGGGTGGTTTACTGTTCCCTGTGTGGCCTGGTGGAGAAAAATGTGATGTAAATCCTGACTCTCTACTTTTTGGTAACAGTATGTGAAATCCTAGTCATGCTACTGAGTCAGTTTCCTCAAGAAATAGGGATACTAATACCTATTCTAGGTGTGGTAGGCAGAATTCTAAGATGACACCACAGATTTCCATCACCTGGTGTACACACACTTCTCAGTTATTCAGTGAAATTTCCTGTATTTGGACTCTGCTACTTTCTCACAGCACAACTTTGACAAATGTACTTAACTTCCCTAATTCTCGGTTTTCTCATCTGTACCTCTACTTCATAGGGTGAAGTGGGGTGAAGAAGAGGAGACTTGCTCTACATCCCCCCTCCCGTGGACATGAATGACTGACTTCAAGGCTACCATGCAGTGATATCAAAGCTATCAGTGAGGTGAAGGTTATTGTACCTTCACCTCACTGAGCTCCTGGACTCTGAAGTGATTTCGAGGGCTAGGGATGGGGAAGGCAGAATGACCGTGGTAAACATTCCCATTCTTTCATCAAATATTTGTAGTATTGCTAGTAGTTTTGCTACTAGGTAGTGCCTATAGTGGAAGTATAGTCATTCAACTGCCACAGACCTCTGCTGTGTGAAAGCAGAGCCATGGCAAGATACCGTTTATTCTTGTTGTTAGCTGCTGTGGAGTCAGCCCCCAGTCATCGGGAACCCCATGCACAAGAGAAGGAAACGTTGCCCAGTCCTGTGCCATCCTCACATCGGTTGCAAACTGGACCATTGTGATCCACAGAGTTTCACTGGCTGATTTTTAGAAGTAAATTGCCAGCCTTTCTTCCTAATCTACCTTAGTCCGGAACCTGTTTAGCATCATAGCAACATGCAAGCCTGCACTGACAGATGGATAGTGGCTGTGCATGATATGAATATGGCCGGGAATTCATCCTGGGTCTCCCATATGGAAGGTGAAAATTCTACCACTGAACCACCAATGCCTTCTATGGCAAGACACTAAGGGTCCTGAATGGAAGGCCAGTGCAAGGCTCTTCTAATCCCTGTAAACTACTTTTTACAAAACATGGGAAAGGCAGGGAAAAAAAGCCCAAGTTAATAGGAATAACATATGCAAGCTGTTTAACCATTAGATGAAACATTAGAATACAGCACCTACAATTATACCGGAAGAATGTTTGGTCATCTTTATCAAGGTTTGCATGGGTTTGATAACTCAATTTTTTATTTTGGCATTCATATTGGTTGTTGATCCATTATGTTATTTTGTTCTGCTATGCAAAGCCTTTAGAGAGGGAAATGAAGTTATTTTGGCTTGTTCATGTCTATTTTCTGAAAAGAAACGTGTCAATTAAAACACGAATGGGAGATTGTTGGGGACTTGGAAGCAAAGGGCGTACATGCCGTTGGTACCATGATCATGTCAGTGAGCCACTTCCCTGGCCCAAAGGGGAAAAGGAGGCCTGACCTCCTGGAGACCTGTAAGGAAAGAACTTTCTCCCCTTCTAAAGGATTATTGCAATAATGTCTGCCATTTCACTCCTAAATGGAAGTTGCTTGTTTACACAACATTATTGCCTCACTGATACGCACAGCACTTGGAGATTAGGTAACTGATCACAGACAGTTTGGGGAAGAGATGAGATCTGTGCTCCAGTTAAGGTCCTGTTGAAACACAAAACAGACATGATTTTTTTATTTGGGTATCACACAGTGACATATTTTGATTCACTGACGTTAAGACTGGGCAGGCCCTAAGGGCAGCATGTGTTCTAGGCAAAGTCAAGAGCCCACTCAAGTACTTACAGACTCTCCAGGCTGGCAGTTCCAGTTAGATCAGGAAATTCAGTTATTTGTGAGGCACCATTCAAAGTCCTAGAAGAAAGAGTACATGAGAATTATTGGGAGAAGATTCTAGAAAGGGGAAATTTTCACTGTCATTTTCAAAGCACTTCAACCTATAATATTCATTTGGTTTTCACAATAACCCTGCAGGGGGAAAATGATCTGTAAGGGAACTAGAAACTTACAGCGTTCTTAGTTCAGGTAAATGTTGAAAAGCTGATCTTCCAACAAGCTGGATGGGGTTGTCATAGAAATGTCTGAAAAAAATCAAACCACCAAAATCTTAGTATAAAACTTGAATGGTAAATGGTAAATGAATTCAGCATATACATTGAATGTATTTATGTAATTTTGATTATACTGTATTACATTTGACTGTGTGGATCATAAAAAATTAGGGAAAACATTTCGAAGAATGGGGATTCCAGAACACTTCATTGTGTTCATGGGGAACCTGTACACAGACCAAGAGGCAGTCGTTTGAACAGAACAAGGGGATACTGTGAGGTTTAAAATAAGGAAAGGTGTGCGTCAGGGTTGTATCCTTTCACCATACTTATTCAATCTGTATGCTGACCAAATAATCCAAGAAGCTGGACTATATGAAGAAGAACTCGGCATCAAGATTGGAGAAAAACTCATTAACAACCTGCAATATGCAAGTGGCACAACCTTTCTTGAAGAAGGTGAAGAGGACTTGAAGCACTTACTGATGAAGATTAAAGACTACAGCCTTCAGTATGGATTACACCTCAACATAAAGAAAACAAAAATCCTCACAACTGGACCAATAAGCAACATCATGATAA